CTCTACCTCCACTCATCCCCCTACCTTCCCTCTGGGTTGGTGAGTGGGGTTTTCATGACTCATCAGAACTCTACTTCCCTGAGGCTATGAAACAGGAACAGCAGATAGAAACAGGATCAATATATTCATCAGTGTGAATAAAAACTTTTATAGACATGGTGCCACTTAAAATTATAATAAGAGCCAACTAGTAAGGTATAAGTATGAATACTTGGCTATTATGTATGTAACAAACAACCAAACATGTGCTCAAGGCTCATTTTACTTCGCCTAGGAATCGGAGATTTTTATGCCTAAAACACCATAAATTTTCGTCAACAATATAAATAAATACCATTTATATTTGTCAATTTCAGTATGAAACGATTATTTCAACACAAAAAGCGATATGAGGACATACTTGGTCGTACTAGTGAAGCTATACTAAATACAAATAAATTTACAACGCCATGGCAACGGCAAAACATTGAAATAGAAATTGTCTAGAAATGATACAAATACTTGCCTTGAAACTCCAGACACGACTCCCAATGCCAGGTTGAGATACTTGTCTTCATACGAAGACATTCCATCATTACTAGCACTATCAGTTTGCAAAATAAAGCCAAAAACGTCTTCAGAATGCGATTCAAACAAAACTACAATACAATACATTTCAACGCTCGTGCGTTCCCGTGCGCGATAATCAGGAAAATTGCTCTAAAAGATTTGTTTTTCTGCCTAAGCCAATCAAAATCCGTATCTAGGGTAAACAAGCACTCCGGAAGTGATTCCTGCAGTCTTTTACCAGGAAACTGTAATGCTTTACCAAGAATTTGGCGTCCGAAGTTGGCCGAACACTTTCCGATCACGAGAATTGCCATAATAGGCTTAGATTATTTCGCAATTTCCCGAGACTGCTCCGAGCTATAGAATGGAAGATGGCGATTCTTTTGGTATATTTGTTATTATTATACGTTGAAAAGAAGCAAAAAGACGAGCATATGAATCAGGCGGAACATTCAAAATGCAACAGCAAAATTGATAATGTGTCATTTGCATAAATTTCACCGCATTGATCATTTCAAGGTAAGAAATTCGCTTGAAATTGAGCGAGAAACAATAAAATTATATGAATATTTCTGAATATATAGTATCGATCAAGCGGAATTTTTTGGTGGTATTTTCGTATGTCTACTGCAAATACTGGCGAAGTTCTTTAATATTTAATCTTCCCGTCATATACGTCGGAAATTAATATTGGCGGATCGAATTGAGTTTTAAAGGGTAAATATAGAAATTCCAACAAAATTGCACCATGAGACTATTTTCCCCATATAGAAAATTCACATATTTTGATGATAAACTCCATGTTGAATCATGCTGCCTTTCTTAAGCCCCCACTACCTCCAATTCAATGTTGAGCTTGTGTCATAGTATATTACCAAAAGTCGTTTGGGCGTTGTTTACAACATTGAACTTGGGGGGGGGGGTTAGAGGGGGACAAAGTTTGTTTTGTCAATGTCCAATAACTTTATAATATTACTTGGAATGGTCTCAAGGGTTTTATCCAAGATTGTAGCTTTTCTACTCAAGAACACATTCAATAAATTCAAAAAGGTAAATGTTGAGCAGTATATGAACAAGATTGAAAACTGCTTTCTGACGCACAACTACAATTTGGATTTTAATTGCCGAGAATATTCTGCAGCTGTTAATTCATGTTAGATCTCCACCTTCAACATGTGTCACCCTTAAAACTTAAGGTTTAACTGCAGTGAAAACATGATTCTCTGCCCATTTGTGTCATGCCATTTTCACTGACATATATCGTAAAGAACAAAGTCAAAGTCTGTCAAGCATGTTGTTTTGAAACCACCAGAAAAATGCAAAACTTGTAATGAAATCATAAAACATGTATCTGCTCCATTGAATCAATACAAAATCAAGGCATTGAATCAGAGAACACATACAAATATAATTAATAATGATATATCATTTATATAAGCAGGAAAAGACGACGAAAGAGAAACGCCAATACAGAATCACCGATCGCAATTGTTAGCATAACACCGTCGTTATCCAGAGTAAAAAGATTTGGCATCATTCCCAAAGTGACTTTATTTAGTGCAGTCTTTCTTGTTACATGGTTGTTTGACATCAATCAAGCCTGTGACAATTGGTATTATTCTCAAGATGTTAATAACATCGCAACAGTGCAAGGTAATCCTAAGGAAAAGGATTCATTTTCTATCCGATTTTGGAAAGCTGTTCATAATTTCAAAGCCCATAATGGCTAGGCGTCTCAAATACTTGACGAAATGCGCCGGCCTTGTTAAATATGCCGAAAACTTTTAATAAATTTCTAGACAACAATTCAATACACCCTTCCGGAATATGTACGTCATCTTGGCTATAGAGTCTTGTCTTCGTGTGTACATAGCATTAATTAAAACCAAGTTTCTCAATCACGACAACCAGGTTTTATATAGCCAAGGTGACATAGATCCCGGAAGCGTGTATTCAGCAGTTGTGGGTAACTACGTACCGGAGACGTCCCTCACTGCATACATAGTGATAATTAATTATATTTTCATATAAGATTGGCAAGAAAATAAAATATGCATATTTAAATATTTTGGAAAATAAATACGCTAAAATAACCAAACTTAAATCCCTGTGATAGTGATCACTACATTCTTACAACTTTTTTGAGGAAAAAAGTTTCTAAAGCGAAAATACCCCACACGAATTAAGGTTTTCGCCAATGTTTTCAGTGTTTTGATGCCATTATGCGGGATTACTGGAACCTGCGAGGAAACAGCATTTCATATAATATCCTTCTTCGACAAAATTAGTGTTTATGCATGGCTTTCACACTTTGTTTCACGGTTGACAGCCAGTAATTCATGAAACTGCAGGCTTGTTTCCAGTTAAAAGCGAAATGCATCGCAAAAATATATTGTAAAACAGCAAAATACATTGCAAAATGAAAAACAGTAGTTTTAGTGCGAGCTTGTACTCGCGCATGCGCAAAACGTCGAAGACCGTCCATCGCATAATGGAGGACATTCAACTTTACACTTCGCTACGTTCTCAAATACCCAGGTGTCAATAGCCGGGCGGAATTAGTACCCTCGCCCAGGGCTGACGCCTGGAGCGCCGTTGGCTCCGGGATTATGGAGAATACACAATGTCATTGACTGCCAAAAAACCGTCGGTCAATGTCAGCCATTGTGTATGTTTGTCATATGAAATACTGTTTTCTCGCTGGTTCTAGTCATCCAGCATATAGTGCTATCAAATCCGATATGTTGAACAATCGCCGAAACATTTTCGTATTGTTTTGCTTCAATAGATATAGAGATGTATTTCTTTACTAACATATATATTAAAACTGACATTACTAGCCGTATTGCCCTTTTAGGATCATTCCCTCGAAATATCTACACACTTTTTACGCGACTGCTAGACAAACAGAGTCTGGTGACAAAAAGCAAACATCTATAAATTTGCTTTTATTCTTCACATGAGCTATCACCCAATATTGGCTGTTGATGAAATTGCCAGCCTTCTCCGGCAAGGTCTATGGATCGGCTGTCCCAAGCAAGGAGAGAAAACAAATAAATAAGTAAATAAATAAATAAGTAAATATAATGTACAAGCCATAATATTATTTCATTTCTATCTGCAGCTGAGTTACCTCCTTGTCCTACAAGTGTTCGACAGATAAGAGCGGATGAACAGTTTGTGGCAGATTCTGGAATTAAAAGAATTCTGAGCGGCTTCTATCATCCTGGTAGTACATCCTGTTTTCGTTCGAGAACCGCGAGGTAGAGTTGTAATATTTTGTGCTCGTTTGAGCAATCTAACTCCATGAGGTTCTGCGCAAGTACAGAGGCGTTGATTTTAATGTGTTTTATAACACATGCGGTTGGTGGGAGCATGTAAGCTCATGTGTATAAATACGGTGGTCATCACCTTTCTATATCTGGTGTGCAAGGTGCACTGATGACGCGTACAACGCCGAAATATACAAAACATGTACTACTTAGTACAATCACATTATTTCTATTAACATGTAATATTGTTCATTTAGTACTGATGAATATGTACGCTAATTTTTGTATGAATAGCTCATTTAGTGCCACATTGGAAACTGTGTTCCTGGAGTAATGTCGACCATTTATAGTAATAAACTAGCCAATTTAAATCCACAAACACGCAATTTCACGCCACATTGCGCATTAAATTTTGCGCTCCTAGAAATATTTCGACTTATTTGTAGTTGTGAATAGCTAAACATGCAATATAAAATATTTTCTGCCACACTGGTCATTTTGATCATAGGAAAATCAAGGCCCTGTCAGTAGCCTAATAGAGAATTCATAACCTGTAAAATTAAATCATTGGATGCAACATTGCAGTTAATGCCGTCAGGGTTTTTCTCTGAGTTAAATTGCTTCAAAAAACAAAACATACAAACAAGCTGTCTGTTGTGTTTTCATTTAGTCCATCAGGTGCAGGAGAACAATGTTGTTATGATGGTGATTCACTAATAGTAGGGCCTCCTGGTGGTGGTTCGTTGGATATAGCGTCTCCTGATAATTTCTGGGGCCACATTAAACGAGATGTTTTACCCTGGTGGGCTTGTTGTAAGATCACTGATAACTGTAATAAATATTATCAAAGACGACCTTCTGATGATGGTTCACGATATGCACCTCCGCAAGCTGGTAAGTAAATTTTACAACAAGAAACTTTATTATAAAATTATTTTTCCATGTTTTGAAGAGAAAATAATATTATTTATTTTTGGCGGTAAAAATAAAGCATTCTGATGCTATTAACCAATAAAAAAAGCAAATATTGTAGTAATTGCAACCAATTTAATTGACTAAATATAATTGACCAAACGAAGTCATTTAAAAATGAACGTAATTTTGTTCCAGCGGCTACAAGTGGAGATCCACACTTGTCCACGTTTGATGGCACATTCTACACTTTTAATGGTTATGGTGAATATATCCTACTACAAGTGAACAATAGTGAAGACTTAGAGTTTCAAGGGCGAATGATACCAATAGTTGATGATCAAGGACGTAGAACCAATGCAACAGCGCTAACAACATTAGTTGTCAGAGCAGCTGCAAGTGATACTGTACAGGTGAGATGACGGAAACATTTGTATACCAATTTGTTTCACTCGTACCAACAATTATAACGCATATAGCGTACAGGTGCATCTCAGAATATTAGAACGTATTTGAAAATATTTCACATATTTTATGTCAGCAAATCATTACATGTAAACATGAAATATTTGTAATATCGTTGTCTTACTGTCATTCCAATTGAAGTGTTCCTCAAATATTGATTCAATACATTACCTCGGGCTGACCAATTCATTTGATCAAGTTCCTCAAAATATTCATACACTTTCTATTATAATTGTAAACTTCCTGTTGAATAGTTTGAATGCACCAATCACCTTTGTTGTTTGTGCAACTAACCAATCATAAATAGAAAGGAAAGTGACCAAAAATGATCAAATTCTTGGAATTGGCTATTTCACAGGAAGTGTATGAATATCTCGAGGAACTTGATGAAATGAATTGGTCAGCCTGAGGTAATGTATTGAATCAATATTTGAGGTACACTTCAATTGGAACGACAGTAACATCATATACTACCAGGGCTGTCGCTATATGTCATATGAGGATGGGTCCAAAAATTTAAAGTCCGAAAAATTCTTTTAACACCGCACCCTCGCCAACAATTTCGTGAAAAGAAATATTAAGAGGCTGTCTCTGTAAAAACCAACCAACGGATTTTTACATCGAAAACAGATTTCCTTCGTTTTTCGTCCACAATTTGCCTTCACTCCACTTACTTTTAAACCGATATTATCGTCATCCGATACGTTTTTCTTAAATTTTTAGCAGATTTTCAATTTCGCTGCTAGAGCGGCCAAGAATCACCGAAAATGAGAGCCCGCAACACCTTGCAGTCGCTTCATTTTTCTCTTGCTTATTCGCTTTAGTCAAGGATTTTCTTTTGTTGGTGTTATATATAGATATTGCTTTCCACAGGGTTTGGATTATATACGTTCTTTGATTTACTTTACATGAGCTATGGACTCTTTAATTTGACCGTCTTTTTCAATATGGCGAAGCACTGGATATGTGAAGTTTTATTAAAGATAATTTCTCCGAAGTGGCACCATGCCTGGTTATGTAAGGTATATTTCGTCGCAGTTAGATATCGAAAGTTCAGTAATTAAAATAAAAACTTGTCGGCAAACGTGTTTTGGAAGCGAGCGACAGGCTTAAATTTATGCTATTTAAGTGCCATGTATTCACTTTGTTTACAATTTCCGAACCGGAAGTCCGTTATTTTAATCTTGTTAGAGTAGCTATTGCTGCCCTAATGTTAACAAAAACTATATTTTCTGCTATTATTCTGTGGTGTAGAATTGTAATGTTTCTTATTGCGTGGTTCTGCCTCTGTATTCGTTAGATATACATTTTATTTTTAAAATTCATTCTAGACGGATACATTCAGTGAGCGCTAGCGAGGCTATATATTTTACACTTTGTTTACAATTGACGAATCAAATATCTGTTAAATATTGCTGCAGGGACCACGAAGGCGGGAGGGGGGCTGGGGGGCGGGGGCAGAGGCCTTCAGCACCAATATTTTTCATGATACTGAATGATCAATATGCCCTTTGATATGATACTGCCATTGGCTTAACCATAATTATTAGTTTTGCAAGGTGAAACATATTAGTTTTGAAAAGCTTTTGGGCTTCTACAGTGTCTGTCATCAGCCAATATTCACTCTAAAAGTAAACACAATTATTGTGGGAACTACTTGAGCAGAAATAACTACTCTTGTTAAAATAATTAACAACAGACTTCCGGTTCGGCAATTATTGTAAACAAAGTGTAGACATGGCACAAAATAGCACAACTTTAAGCCTGTCGCAGGCTTCCAAAACACGTTTGCCGACAAGTTTTTTTTTAATTACTGAACTTTCGATATCTAACTGCGATGAAATATACCTTACATAACCAGGCATGGTGCCACTTCAGAGAAATTATCTTTAATAAAACTTCACATATATCCGGTGGTTCGCCATATTGAAAAAGACGGTCAAATTAAAGAGTCCATAGCTCATGTAAAATAAATCAAATAACTTAGATTATCTAAACCCGGTGGAAAGCAATATCTATATATAACACCAACAAAAGAAAATCCTTGACTAAAGCGAATAAGCGAGAGAAAAATGAAGCGACTGCAAGGTGTTACGGGCTCTCATTTTCGATGATTCTTAGTCGCTCTAGCAGCAAAATATAAAATCCGCTAAAAAATTAAGAAAAACGTATCGGATGACGATTCTAATAACGGTTTAAGTGGAGTGAAGGCAAATTGTGGACGAAAAACAAAGGAAATCTGTTTTCGATGTAAAAATCCGTTGGTCGGTTTTTACAGAGCTGAGACAGCCTCTTAATTAGCAAGTGAAGTCTTGTCGGCAAGCGCGGTACTACACCCTCTGCCTTAGCCTCCTCACGTTTTTTTTTAAGTTTAGATATAGGTAATAAGAACCATATTGGTGTCCTAGTAAAAATCTTATCTCCCTAAATGTTAGATCAAAAAGTGTAGTGTGATGGCCTCGTGTTGTTGGGACAATATATGCCTGCGAAAATTATGTTGTATCTGATGAAACTAAGGATAAAAGATAAAAAAAGACTCGTATTTGAGTAAATGTGGACCTAAGAAAATAAGCACAGGTGTAGATTTGTGAAACATAAAATTGAAGATGCATGTGAAAAATTGTAACGGTAGAATATATATCCTGTAGTGTAAAAAATTGATCAGACCCAAAAATTATAATCGCGCTGTAAAATATATAAAGCGAGAGAAAGAGATAGTCATATGTGTAAAATTCAGTATCCATGTATACGTGCCGTTTCGCCCTTCATGGACTCGTAAGCAGGGATTTTGGGTTGGCACATGTGTCTGCATAAATTGCGTTTTAGGGCCATGCGCGTTGAGTAAGTGAGATGTGGCTACAGTAGGCCTACATGTGGGTGCTTATGTTGTTTGTGTGGATTGTAGGGGTGTTGATCGATCATTTTGGGAATTGTGTATTTATTTGGTTGCATATGTTTACTTCGTGTAATAATAATGTTTGTGAGCTTTGTTATTTATTTTTAGAGTGTTATTTTAATTGTTGATGTGTAATGGTGTTTCGAGAGGGACTAATTAAGTTATGGACAATTTTTTTGAGACTTGGAGTAAAAAATGGTTGAGCCATGGGAGGGGGTAGTAAACTGAAATAACGTGCTTAAGTGCTTGTTTTATTGTTTAGGGATCGGATGTGTGTTAATAGCTGTGATGTACAACATGCTTGTGTGGTTGGCCATTGCATAAAATGTATTTAGTATTACTGTTGTATTTAGTTGCGAAGATTGGTTAATTGGTTGCTTAATTTGAATTTTCTGTTTTGTTGAGTAGGTCATTTTGTGTGTATAGTAATGCTTTGTTAAAGGATGTGATAATGTTGTCATGTTTGTAGCCGCGGTGAATGGGGGGCAATAAGTGGGTTGTCCAGTCTTTGTTGTAGTTTCTTATTTTTAGTGGTGTTTGGTCTATATCATAGTGCTTGGCTGTGGATAAGAGTTTTTGTATGTTGGGGGTGGGAGGAATTTTGATTCAGGAGTAGAGTTCTATCAGTTGGTTTGATGTATAGCTAAGTCTGATTTGAGTATGTAGTCGACGAGTAAATGTAAATAATTGTCTCATTCAAGGAAGTTTGCTGATTTTCATGAGTATATATAGTCAGTGGCGGCGCCAGGGGGGGGGGG